TAGAAGGTCATGGGTTCAAATCCCAAAAGAAGCATGCTTTATAAAAAACAAAAATGACCTTTCCTCCCAGGTTAACCCAGCCTTAAATGGGTAAAAGGTAAAATTGTGGGAAATAAAGGCAGCTAGCTAGTGTTATGTTGACCACATCCCATCAACCACTGAGTGGTCCATAAAATATAGGCCTAGCACCATATGCCCAATACGCCTGAAGGCCTAGAAAAAGCTCCTTTAGTCAAAATGAATGATTATTTCCTACGCTGAAATCTGTTTGTTGCACAGGACCACGCCGAACTGTAGAACCCAGCACCCCTAGTTCAGGTGACCTGATCAGGAAGAACGTCAACCAGCTGAGCCAGAGGGAAGCGGACAACTTGAGGAACGCACTCTACCAGCTGCAGCAGGATCAGGGACTTGGTGGCTTTGAGGCTATTGCAGGTTTCCATGGAGCCCCATTCTTGTGCCCTGAACATGGACAAGAGAAATACGCTTGTTGTGTTCATGGTAAATACTTTGTATATGTCTTTGATTATCCATACACTAAACATGTTCCTGATTAATGTGTACACTATACTTGTATTTGATAATTTGTACACTATACTTGTTTCTGGTAATTTTTACCCTATACTTGTTTATGGTAATGTGTACACTATACTTATTTATGATAATGTGTACACTATACATGTTTATGATAATGTGTACACTATACTTGTCTATGATAATGTGTACACTATACCTGTTTATGATAATATGTACAATATACTTGCATTTGATAATTTACTATACTTGTTTCTGGTAATCTATATAAAAATGTTTATAATAATATAATCACTGTACATTTCTAGTAATCTGTACAGCATAATATTCATAATAATCTGTTCACTATATATGTTTATGACAGTCTTTACACTATACATGTTTCTGATAATCTGTACATACACTATACATGTTTCTGATAATCTACACATACACTATGCATGTTTCTTATAATCTGTACATACACTATACATGTTTTTGGTCATCTGTACACTATAAATGTTTCTTATAATCTGTACACTATACATGTTTTTGGTCATCTGTACACTATACATGTTTTTGGTCATCTGTACACTATACATGTTTTTGGTCATCTGTACACTATACATGTTTCTGATAATCTGTACACTATACATGTTTCTGATAATCTGTACACTATACATGTTTCTAATAATCTGTACACTATACATGTTTCTAATAATCTGTACACTATACATGTTTCTAATAATCTGTACACTTTACATTTTTCTGATAATCTGTACACTATACTTCTGTATAGCAGTTAGTATAATATATCTTCTTATTCTTCTTCATTCTGAGCCTGTTAGATTTATTGCTACCTATATCACCTGCCTCTTTTCATCTCTCTGATTGGTCTTCTCTTTCCAGTAGGTGACTCCAAGTGTTGTAGATATGCTTTCTATTATCTCTCCATGATTTTCTTTGGTTGGCCTCGTGGTCTATTCCCATTCTTCTGTATATGCAGTTTTTGTTCCTCTGTTATCTATCATTTTCTCAACAATTTGCTCCCAACTATCGCAGTATATTAGCCCTTATGATGCCAGTAATTATTGGTGATTTTAACAGATTATGAAGTGTATTCTTCTTCTTCTTTCTTTTGTCATCTCATACCAGGTTGTAGCCCAATATCGTGGTGTTTCTGAACTTGTCTTGAACTTCTCGGATGGCTTGGGTGATGGATTTGTTCACCTTTTTTGCAGGTTTTAGCTACACTATTTATCCATCTCTTTCTTGGTCTTCTTCTCACCTTCCTCCCAGATGTTGTGCTGTAAAATGTCTCATATGCAGTTTGGTCTAGCTGCATTCTCACTAGATGGCTGAACGATTTCATTCTTTGTCTGTCAGTATAATGCAGACATGGTCTTATTCCAACTTTCTCTAATGCAGGTATTTGTAACCCAGTCTTGTCTAGTGTTAGTGTCTCCTTGTGGAGACAACATATTTCACATGTAGTTATCTTCTGTTCTAGTGTCCTGTTCATTGTCCATGTTTGGCACTGATAACATAAAGTAGGGATAAAGATGCTTTCAAACATTTGCTGTTTTGCTGGAGGGGAGACATTAAAGTGCTAAGCAGTGGGGCTAACTGGTGGATGACAGCATTTTCCTTCTGGACTCTGTCTTCTATCTCTCTAATGAGTCTGCCATCCTTTATTAGCATACTTCATATTTATATATTTCAATTTGTACACTATGTATTGTACTTTTCTGCCAACATTTTACATTATTCTCCAACACTATAAGTGTTTGTGGCAGTTTCACACTTTCCAGATTGGTGGGCTGGAATTGCTATGCCTACCTACAGCACAATATAACACTGTCATCTGGAAAGATGCCAACAGTATGAATTTATGGTAGTCTGTAAACTATATGCCTTTTTTTTGACAATCTGTGTGCTGTACACATTTCTTACAAATTGGCCACCATACTTGTACACTCAGTATGTCCATGTTAATCTGTAAATTTTCAGGAACACAAAATATTTTTTACAGAACATTCTACACCACACACAACAAACTGACCATCCAAAAATACAGCAAATAAACTTTTCTCAACAGATTGACCACCCACTAACTGAACAAATAAAATTTACTCAGCAAACTGACCACCCACTAACTGAACAAATAAACTTCATTCAACATATTCAAACCCAGTATTTGAGCACATAACCTTCAGTCCACAAACTGACCAATAGGTAATAAAGCAAATTAATTTTACTCCACAAACTGACCACCCAGTAATTAAGCAAGTAAACTTCGCACCAAAAACTGGCCAACCAATAATTAGGCAAGTAAACTTCACTCCACAAACTGACCACCCATTAATTAGGCAAGTAAACTTCAGTCAACAAACTGACCACCCAATAAATAGGCAAGTAAACATCACTCCACAAACTGACCACCCAGTAATTAAGCAAGTAAACTTTAGTCCACAAACTGACCACCCATTAATTAGGCAAGTAAACTTTGGTCCACAAACTGACCACCCAATAATTAGGCAAGTAAACATCACTCCACAAACTGACCACCCAATAAATAGGCAAGTAAACATCACTCCACAAACTGACCACCCAGTAATTAAGCAAGTAAACTTTGGTCCACAAACTGACCACCCAATAATTAGGCAAGTAAACTTCTCTACAAACTGGGCAACCAATAATTAAGCAAGTAAACTTCACTCCACAAACTGACAACCCATTATTGATGCAAGTAAACCTCAGTCCACAAACTGACCACCCAATAATTAGGCAAGTAAACTTCTCTACAAACTGGCCAACCAATAATTAAGCAAGTAAACTTCACTCCACAAACTGACCACCCATTATTGATGCAAGTAAACCTCAGTCCACAAACTGACCACCCAATAATTAGGCAAGTAAACTTCTCTACAAACTGGCCAACCAATAATTAAGCAAGTAAACTTCACTCCACAAACTGACAACCCATTATTGATGCAAGTAAACCTCAGTCCACAAACTGACCACCCAATAATTAGGCAAGTAAACTTCACTCCACAAACTGACCACCCAATAATTAGGCAAGTAAACTTCACTACACAAATTGACCACCAAACAACTACGCAGTTAAACTTACTCAACCAACTAATCGTTTAATATATATTTCTGCAGGAATGCTTGTGATTCCCACACTGGCACCGACTGTTCACTGTTCAGTTTGAACAAGCCCTCAAGTTACATGGATCCACCACTGGGATCCCATACTGGGACTGGACCAATCCAGGAGATGAACTTCCACTGTTTCTAGCAGACACTGGGGCAGACAACCCTTTTAGTGGCTACACAATTGGTTTTGTGGGTGAGGTAAGTCCTCGTGGGTGCATGTTTATATCTGTGGAAGTCTATCCACATTAATGATTGTGGAGGATTTATACAAGATCAAGTCTGTGACCAAATGATATTAACAAAGGTGATATCAACAGTTGAAAAGAAAAATAGATGCTGCAGTTGTATGTGCATGCATATTTATGATTTTTGGTTTCATTGGGTATCTTACTACTGAGTTTGTGCACTGCATTGAGAATCTTCAGACTCAGGCTTAAGTCAGAATTAGAATGGAGCACTTATGGGTTACACTCGTGTGCTATGATGTTGATCCATAGAATAAACATAAACATAAATGACTGAATAAATTCAGCAATGTGTTCCTAAATCTAAGGTTCAAGACCTCCCTACAGTACTATAAATCTTTTTTTTAAAGAGTGTGTGTGTGTGGGGGGGGGGGGGGGGGGGGGGGGGAGGGTAATTGCAGGCAATAAAGAAAGTGTTTTTTTTCCAAACTTTATATGTTATTGTGTGAATCACTGTAACCCCATTCAAATTTTTCTATGAACCATTGTTATCCATGAATTGCTGCTATCTCATTATTGTTTTATATTTAATTATGTGAACATGTATTGTATCATTTTTGTTATATATGTAGATATTGTTTTAAATGTAGTAATATAGATGAGTATCATTGTTTTAAATGTAGTAATATAGATGAGTATCATTGTTTTAAATGTAGTAATATAGATGAGTATCATTGTTTTAAATGTAGTAATATAGATGAGTATCATTGTTTTAACTGTAGTAATATAGATGAGTATCATTGTTTTAAATGTAGTAATATAGATGAGTATCATTGTTTTAAATGTAGTAATATAGATGAGTATCATTGTTTTAAATGTAGTAATGTAGATGAGTATCATTGTTTTAAATGTAGTAATTTGGATGAGTATCATTGTTTTAAATGTAGTAATATAGATAAGTATCATTGTTTTAAATGTAGTAATGTAGATAAGTATCATTGTTTTAAATGTAGTAATGTAGATAAGTATCATTGTTTTAAATGTAGTAATGTAGATAAGTATCATTGTTTTAAATGTAGTAATGTAGATAAGTATCATTGTTTTAAATGTAGTAATGTAGATAAGTATCTCCTTCAACAGAAAACTACCCGCAGTCCCTTGGAAGCTCTCTTCAGCACCAACACCTCAGCAGGCACCTCTCTTCTCTACCAGCTGACCCTGGATGCCCTTGAAGAAGAAGACTACTGCCATTTTGAAATCATGCTGGAATTCCTTCACAACAGGGTTCACTTCCTGATTGGTGGTGAGGGAACTTACTCCATGTCTACCCTGGACTACTCTGCTTATGATCCCATTTTTATGATTGTCCACTCTGGCATGGACAGGATCTGGGTTTTGTGGCAGGTAAGCCCTGAACTGGCATTGATGTCGTAGTCACAGACAGACCTTGCACAGACATGTTTCTCTGATCTAGGCCACAAACAGTTCTGCTGACATGTTTCTCATCCCGATCACAAAATTCTGACATGCTGAATCATCTGGTCACAAATAGAACTCTGACATTTCTCTCTGATTCTGGTCACAAGCAGAACTCTGCCTGACATTTGTGTCTCATCCTGGTCACAGACAGAGTTTTGACATTGCTATCTCATCTGTTCACAGACAGAGATCTGAAACTGTTCTCTCATCTTAGTTTAGTTTAGTTTAGTTTAGTCGATGGATCAACATCGTGGCACACAGGTGTAACCCATAAGTGCTTCATTACCTCAGCACAGTGCATGAACTCTGTAGCACTGGAGAGGATCCTGAAATACTTTGGGTAGATTTTTAACTCCAACTTTTTCCCAGTCAGCGCCTTTAGGCTACTCTTTTCGATTTCAAACTGTCAAGCGAATTTTTACGTGTGCAACAATACACATGAGGATCCAATCTTATTACCCAGAGACCGAGGCCAAGGGAAATTACATGTGAAAAAATCCTAGCCTTTACCGGGGTTTGAACCCCGAACCTCCAGCACCCGAAGCAGATGCCATACCTTAAGACCACTCAGCTCCTTCTCTCATCTGTCACAGACAGAACTCTAACATCTCTCTCCTTTCCTGGTCAAAGACAGTTTTATCTGTATCATTTCATTGACACTGATATCAATGACTAGTTTACCAGTAGAATATTCTGTTCACAATGAAACTCAACAAATCTGGTTTGTTCATGACTGTTGGACTCATCCTGTTGAGTAAAAGAAGTATTCTTTTGTTTGAACAGGAATTGCAAAAACTTCGCCGTAAGCCATTTGTGGCTATTGAGTGTGGAGAGAAATCACTGCATGAGCCACTGCATCCATTTGACTCTGCTGAACTTAACACCATTGCTTTGACACGAGAGAATGCCATCCCTGACTCTATCTTTGATCATCATCGTCTAGGCTATGAGGTAAGAGCTTAAATGTTGCTTATATGCAATCACCATCATAATCATTGAGTTGAGTTGAGTCAAGAATTAGCATCACTGCACTAGGGACAATCCCATATGTGCTCCATCCCCATCTTTAGCAGTCAACAAAGAGTACCAATACTGATCTTAGTCTAGTTATTTGTCTGTCTTGCCTTTCTTCTGAATATAGTGAGCCGGCCAGACCCTCTGGTCACACCTAGGTTCATCATTCTCTCCAGGCCAAAATCATCCAGTTTCTTCTCTGACTTTGTTACTTGTTCCCAGAAGGCCCTGGCCACATCTACCTTATCATGTATCAATTCTCCACCCAGTGGTGTAAATCCAGCCATTCTGATTGCCTGTTTATTCCCCACCACACTGGCATTGCCACTCTGCTTGAAGCAACCCTGTGTTCACCTTTCTCAGCATGCTTTCAGAGTCTGTTACAATTACGACATGTGTACGCATCTTGTTCTCTAGCCACTGGAAAGCTGCAATGACCACCTCCATCTCCATTCTCATGCTATATGTTGTAGTATCATATGCTAAGCTATCCTGCACTAAAGATTTTCCACTGGCTTTCATTACAAACCCAGAGGCACTTCTCTTCCCTCTCAACACAGAACCATTCATATAGATAATCAGATCACCTGTACAAGAATTGTGGTGAATTAACAGGCTCACCACCGTAGCACCCGCTTGCCACTCTCTGCACTCCCAGCCCAATCTGATCATAACCCTACACAGGTCAGACTTTTCCTCTAGTACTCTGACCCACTCCTCTCCTCCCTCACATGCGTACTTGTCTTATTATGTCTTCTGCTTGAGCCATCCATGATTGTCCCCTTTTCGGATTTTCAGCCTCTGACCCTTAACTGCACCCAAAGACTCCTACAGAAGGTGCTCTTTATCTGGCAGCTACTCTGAGATATGACTCAGCCTGCAGCACCTTAAGCCTATCTTGCAGAAATCTTGCTTCTGTCAATGTGATTCCCAGGTACCTCAGTCTGCTGTATCTTCTGATGCCCCTGCCACTTATTTTGAGGCTCAGAATATCAGCTCTAACAATCCTGTTGTCCAAAGAACACACAGGCTGGCTGCTTTTTCAAAGTTGATTACAGATCTCATCTCTGTACACCAGTCAATCATCTTATCTGCTCTCACCTGTAACTCTTGAGCTATTTTATTCTGATCTCTCCCTCTGCTTATCTGCGAGAATATTATCTGTGAATATTAATATTCTGCCAACTCCATATGTTTCCAGATTTGCAGTTTTGCTCTTATAAAAATTGAACAGAACAGGTGAAATTGCAGATCCCTGTGGTAGTCCTGGGACTATTATACATGGTTCAGAGGTCCGTGAACCCAGGCCGAGAGCTACCCAATGAGTACAAAACAGCTGCTATCCAGCTCACCAGCCAAGGACAGACTTCTTTTTCCATAGGCCTTAGTGCTGTCATCAAGTTATTATTTCTGACTAAGTTGTAACCACTACTACAGTTTCCTGTCTGTTCAGGAAACCTCAAAGGCATCAAAGGCAAAAGTGGGGATATTTGACCATGTATCCTTAACTGGCTGGTAACTTTCCAAACCTCCTGTTCCAAAACTTCTTGTAGCTTGCCTGCCACTATCTTCTCCAGCATATTGCCAAAAAATTTTTGCAGTGTTATGATCCTAAAGCTACTGATTGTTGAATGATTCTTGCCAGCCTTAGGAAGTGAAATCAGATAGCTGTGCATCCACTCTTGTGGGACTGAAGCTGTCCTAATGCTCTGGTTGAAACAGGCAGTCATCTCCAACAGGTCAGCATCACTCATGTCCCACATGTAGGAATATCTAGCCCCGTCAGGCCCAATTGTAGTGTCTTTCACACTTTTTAGAACATGTTTGATTTCTTCTTCTTCTTCTTTGCGTTCACCAGCTGTACATTCTGGCGTAAAGTTCTGGTTGTTCGTCCACTTCTGGACTGCAGTCCTGTTCCAGAACCTGAGTGTTGCATGTGCATCAGTTTTACAGATCTGATTCTCTTGAATGCAGACTGCTGGTTCCTTGCCTCTCAGGCAGATGCACTCCGACTTCAAAGGAAGCTCCCCAGTTAGTCGACTCTTACGACATGCTTTTGGGGAGGCAGTGGGTCTATTCTTGTTTTCCCCACAATAGGGCCCCGGAACCCACACAGGGGATGTTTGATTTGATTCGATTTAATTCAAGAACCGACATCACAGCACTCAGGGCATTCCCATAAGCGCTCCATCCCTATCTTCAGCAGCCAGCGAAGAGTTCTGATACTAATGGTGCCAGTAGCATTTTGATTAATTGTCCGTCTTGCCTTTCCTCTCAGCCTCGAGCATCTGCCAGAACCTCTCGTCACTCCTCACTGCATCAATCTCACCAGACTGTGGTGATCCATCTGCTCCTCCGAACTGTACAAGCTCTCCCACAAGGCACTAACAACGTCTGCCTTATCATGCATCAGTATTTTACTAAGCTGTGCAGAGCCAGCCAGTCTGTCCGCCTGTTCATTTCCCAACACACCGGCATACCCTGGTGAAAAAATCTAGACAATACTTCTCACCCATGTCTTCCGCAGCGAGGCACAAAGCATGCCTGTCCTGATCTTCCTCAGCATGCTTTCTGAGTCAGTTACAATCACAATGTGTGTGTCTGTGTGTGTGTGTCATGTTCTCTAGCCAGCAGAAAGCCGCAGTGACTGCCCCCACCTCGATTCTTAAGCTGGATTGTGGTATCATATGCTAGTCATGTTTTACATCTTCCACCTGTATGAAGTCTTTGTACTGTTTATTCTTTATGGCAGGTGACAAATCTTCTCTAACTGTCTTTCATTGTGGTTTGTCTGTGAAATGAACCTCTTCAGGAAAGCCTGTGCCCTTCTTTTTGTCTGTAATCAATAGCATACTGTCATCTCTATGAATTGCTCTCACTACACTGGGCCAATCTTTCTCTAGCCTAGCTTTCTTCTGCCTATAAAGCTTCCAAAACTTTCCCAATGTCTTATCGCCCCAATCTCATTAATAAAATGCTCCCATTTTGCTTTCTTTCGTCTCTTTTGCACAGCACTTGAAAACCTTTATCCTATCTTTCTTATCTCTTTTTGTTCACTCTAATACCTACTGTGAGTTTAGAGATGTCTGTCACACTTTCTTTAATCACTTTACTGCAGCTCTCTTTAACTTCCATGCCTGTTCCACCTCTACCATGGAGGCTGCACAAAAGTATGTCTGCCGGTTCTCTAACATGCCTTCTGTCGGAGGCATCTAAGCATCAAACATTCACATTATCTGTTGTTGTTGTTGTTGTTGTTATCGATCACATTATCTAAGGCCCATCATTATCATGTGGGAATTGAAGATTGTCGTTAGTGTCACAATAATCTGCTAATTATGTTTTTCTTCTTCTTCTTCTTCTTCTTTCATTCGCTTCAAATAGATTATCTGCAGTGTTGTCTAGTATGAACTTCACTGTCTTTTAAAATTCTTCTTTCATTCGCTTTAAATAGATTATCTGCAGTGTTGTCTAGTATGAACTTTTATAATTCAGTGAGCTGATTCATGTGTGAGAGTTTTTCACGTTTTCAACATCAGGTGTCATATATACACCAGCAATACAAATACATGGGATGCATTCAAGTATCTAGATAACATATTAGTACAAGTACCTGGATAACATATAAGTACTTGGTAATATATAAGAACCTGTGTAACATACAAGTATATCGGTACATACCAGTATCTGAGTTACTACATACAAGTATGAGGGTTTCATACAAGTTTCTGAGAGGAGGGGGGGGGGGGGGGGGGGGGGGGGGGGTGTGTTCTCTCAGCCAAGTGCTCACAGTGATTCCTTTTAGCCTTTAGACACTTTTCATAACCATCATACAACTCATATCTACCGTAATTTGATGTAAACATGATGGAATATGTTTTTAAACTAGTAGCCTACACAAAAATGTTTAT